GGGGTCTGGCCGCAGCCTGCCGGTCTGCGGGATCACACCCCAGATCCCCAGATCAGCAACGCTGCGTCCCGGACGCCCTGGCTCCTCCACCCACGGCTCTGCCACTTCGGCGGGCTCTTAGCCTTTCGGCACCTCAGTTTCTTCGTCCGGGAAACGGAGTTGTTGCCGCGCAGCCGCAGCCACAGCTCCTGCTGCTGCTGATCCCGTAACTGCTGCGTGGTTACAATGGCACAGGCCGCGGGGAGGGGTGAGGGCAGAGCCGGGACCTTCCCAGGAGGTGGGACGGGCACCCGCCCGGAGCAATGAAGGCAGCCACCCTCAGGGGTGGGGACCGGGAGCCCTTGATCGCCTCGGTGGTCCAGGCCATCCCACGTCTCTAGGTTCCAGATCTGGGCATGATCACCTTCCAGCCTGGGAGGGACCCCTGGGCGGACCAAAATCAGGACCAGATAGCAAACACCTGGGCGCTAAGTGGCCTGTAGAAATGACCCCGTGGGCCCTGGGGAGCAGGTGGTGGCCCTGCACCCACCGTGCAGATGAGGGGAGAGCCTCAGAATGGGACCGAGCACAGGCTGGAGCGGGCGGCCCGCGGGTTCTCGGTCCTGAGGCTGCAGCGTCCTCACGGCGCCCTGTACCCCTGCCCCTACCCACAGTGACTTGGCTGGCCCGGGCATGGCGGACCCAGTGGCGGGCATTGCCGGCTCAGCAGCCAAGAGCGTCCGGCCGTTCCGTTCAAGTGAGGCCTACGTGGAAGCCATGAAGGAGGACCTGGCCGAGTGGCTTAACGCCCTGTATGGCCTGGGTTTGCCCGGTGGCGAAGGCTTCCTGAGCGGGCTGGCCACAGGCACCACCCTGTGCCAACATGCCAACGCTGTCACTGAGGCCGCCCGGGCTCTGGCTGCTGCCCGACCGGCCCGAGGTGTGGCCTTCCAGGCGCACAGCGTGGCCCCGGGCTCCTTCATGGCCCGCGACAATGTGGCCACCTTCATCGGCTGGTGCCGCTCAGAGCTGGGAGTGCCCGAGGTGCTCATGTTCGAGACTGAGGACCTGGTGCTGCGTAAGAACGAGAAGAGCGTTGTGCTGTGCCTACTGGAGGTGGCCCGGCGCGGGTGGAGGTCGCCGGGCGCGGGGCCCGCCTCGGCCTGCTCGCCCCCCGCCTCGTGCAGTTCGAGCAGGAGATCGAGCGAGAGCTGCGGGCCACACCTCCAGCCGCCAACACCCGCACTGCTGGGGAGGACCCCGTGGAAACCACGACGGCTCCAGGGGCTCCCAGCCGTGGGCCCCGCATGACACCCAGCGACCTGCGCAACCTGGATGAGCTGGTGAGCCCCCAACATGTATGCATGCATATGTGTACACATATGCACATACGTGTACACATATGCACATACGTGTACACACACGCACATGGCAGCCCTCGCTGTGCTGTGTGTAGCCATCCCGTGGTCCAGCCCTGCATCCTGGGGTCCACCCTGGTATCTGCAGGACAGCCTGCTCCATGGAAAGGGAGGGGAGCTGGGGTGAGGGCTGGGGGGAGGGCCTGGCACTGCCTCCCCTCCATTCATGTGCTCACTGCTGTGCGCCATCTGGGGGGGCTGCGTGGTCTGGCACCTCCTCTGTGCCCTCCCTTCACCCCCAGTCTCATGGGCTCGAGGGTGAGCGGGAGCCGTTTTACTTGGCTGAGAGGAGGTGTGGAAAGCCTTGGGCAAGGTGCCTGGCACGCAGTAGGCGCTCAGTGAACTCCTGGGGAGCCCCCAGGAGCTCTGCAGTTCCCTCCCACTGCCCAGGTCATGCCGCTGCTGATAGAGTCCGGCCCTTTCCCAGGACCGAGGTGTCCCTGCCTCCCCCAGGCTGGCCCATAAGTCTCCTTATCAGGAGGCTAGGACTCCGACGTGCTGCCCAGGAGGCGGGGAGCCAGAAGGCCGTGGGCAGAGGCTGGCACCCCACCCTGTCCTGGGCCAGGGTCACCAGAGGCCCCACCTGCTCATTTCCCCCGGCGCCGCTGTGGGCAGAGAGGCGGGCAGGGCCGCCCACACAGCCAGCCTGGCAGCTGTGGGCCTGGGGGCACGTGTGCAGCTGTGCACAGCCAGGCGGGTGGCCGTGTCCCACATGTCGGTGATGTCCCCACACCGGTGTCCTTCGGGGCAGAGAGCCCTGCCCTCCTGTGCCTTGACCTGCCCCCTCGCTGTGCTGGGTCATCCTGTGGGCCTCGGTCTCCTTGTCTGCAGTGTGGGTGGAGGGGGAGTGAGGACAGGCTCCAGGGTGCCCCTAGGGCTGGGGGCTGTGGAGATGCTGCTCATCGGGGCCCCAGGCTGTGCCTGGCCACAACCTCACCGTCTTGTTCTGGTCAGCTCCCAGCACCCCGAGAGCTGGTGAGGGCCTGTGTAGAAGCCGCTCAGTCTCAACAGCCTCCATCCAGTTCCCCGGAAGGAAGGACTACTTCCTCTTGACCCTGCAGCCATTGCCCAGGCCCCGGGAGGAGGGACCGCCCCTGACCTCCGATCTCTCCCCTCTGGCTCCAGGTGAGGGAGATCCTGGGCCGGTGCACCTGCCCAGACCAGTTCCCCATGATCAAGGTCTCCGAGGGCAAGTACCGCGTGGGAGACTCCAGCCTGCTCATCTTCGTGCGGGTGAGAGCGGGCGCCCGCAGGCCCAGGGGGCAGCTGTGGCTCAGCTCTGACCTGTCCCCCCACCCCACCCCCGGGCCCCGCAGGTGCTCAGGAGCCACGTGATGGTGCGCGTGGGCGGCGGCTGGGACACTCTGGAGCACTACCTGGACAAGCACGACCCTTGCCGCTGCTCCTCCTCTGGTCAGTGCCCAGGCAGGGTCGGGCGGGCAGGCCTCCGTGGCTCCCTTCCTCACACCCACCGTCTCTCCTCTCTCGCCATAGCCCACCGCCCGCCCCAGTCCAGGACTCGCACCTTTTCCCCCCAGAGGGTGTCACCTGCCCCCAGCCCGAGACCAAGCAGCCCAGTCCCAGGGAGCGAGCGGCGGGGCTCCCGGCCAGAGGTGACTCCCCTTAGCTTACGAGGCACAAAGGAGGGGCCTGAGACCCCGCTCAGGTGAGATGCTGGAGGGGCGAGGGGCCCAGGGCATGGGCGTAGGGGTGACAGCCTTGGCCTGGATGACGTCAGTGCTTCAGAGTGACTCACACCCTGGGAAAAGTTCCCGTGGGTGGGGGCTGGCCTGGCTTCCCATCTCCATGGCAACCCAGCCACACCAACAACACAGCTGGGCGGGCCCCTGGGCAGCAGCCAGTCCAGCCTGGCTTCCCGCTGGCTGTCCTGGGGAGCCCAGAGGCCTGGGGGGAGGGAGTCCAGGGCCCAGGAGACCTCTTTCTCCTGCCACCTTTGGGGCTCTGAGCAGCTACAGGAAGCTCTCACTTCTCCCTGGAAGACCCCAGGACAGACATGCTCTGACTGATGGCCACCAGCCACCGCAGGGCCTGCTGCTCCTCCCCTGGGAGTCCTGTGCCCCAGTCCACCTGCGTGATGCTCCTGTCTCTCTTGTCCCCCTGCCCCAGGCCCCGGGAGCAGCTGCCCCCCCACCCCCGCTCTCGGCGTTACTCCGGGGACAGTGACTCCTCAGCCTCCTCCGGCCCGAGCCACCACACCGCCCCCCGAAGCCCCCGCAGTGACGAGACAGGCGCTGGCCCCCAGCGGGAGCGGCCCAGCCGGAGACTGACCACAGCCACCCCCGCCTCTCCGAGAAGGCCCCCTGCCCCGCGCAGCCAGTCCCGAGACCGGCTGGATCGGGGCCGGCTCCGTGGGGCCTCCGGAGGCAGGGGAGCCCCACTCTCCACCCCCAGCCCTGGCCGGCGCCCCC